ACATAAGCCAAGCGTGTTCTGGAATTAAACTTTCTGCTGCTACAAGACAGCTTTTTCTAGGCCCACACATGGCCATCACCAGACTGCAATGGCTCAGCCACAGGGACCGGGAGAGCCTTTGGGCTATGAGATAGGCTTGAGACAAAGACCTTGAACTATTTTAGTAGAATCAGTACAGCTGATTGCCCCACTCTTGGGCTTTGTGTGCAAAGACAAAAGTGAATCATGCAAGTAAAGGTGCAGGGCTACACAGATTTGATCATAAGAGGAAACAAGTAGATGGAACTGGTCATCTCTAGGTTGTCTTCATCATTGCTTTGTTCCAACTGGCTGTTTGAGGGATCACAGGAACGTCATGACTGTTCTGTTCTTGCCGATCTGCCAGGGCTCCAGTGGGTAAAAGCGGATGACAATCCTTTGTGGGTATAAAAGCAAACACGCAGTGGACAGGAAACATTATTATTTTAGGATTAAATATTATCCCTACCCAGTTTGCAACAAGGTAGAAAATCTGCAATAAGCTCCCGCTGGCTCACACTCCACGGGATTAATCTGACAGAAGCAAAGATAAGCTGTGTACGGACAGCGTACAAACAGGTGCCAGACTTCAGCCACACAAACTGGAAACCAGACTGAATTTCAACACTGTTTGTCTCATGATACTTGGCCATTTCCAAAGGACCCAAGCAGCTCATGATCTTGTTGGGTATTTACCCTGACAGCACCCAAGAGGCAGGGAAATGCCATGACTCTCCTTGGGGGGGACGGTGAAGAGGGGCAGAGAGGGACACGGCTTGCCTTCCAGGACAGCCTTGTTCCAGCATTTGGCACAGTGACCAGACTGCGATGCTCTACCACTTCCCGCTGTGTTTTCCACCAGTTACACCAACTGGAACCACTCATCTTTAGAGAACAGTATTTCCCAGACTGTTCAACGAGTGCAAACCAGTCCATGGTGTTACCTGGACCTAACTGTGGGTTTGGGATTCAGCATCTGAGTACTTAATGTTTGCAACCTAGTCTTGGATCTTTATTAGACCTGAACCTCATGGAGGACCTGGAAACCTACATCATCATCATCCTCATCACCACCACTTTGAACATCTCCCTGTACTTTTGCTGCGTTTCATATAGTCACACAACACATAAACCTCACAGAAGCAGCGCTCTCCCTCTCCAGGCCCCAGGAGCAGGCAGGCACGCTATCCTTGCCCCTTGCGGCCACCGAGCCCCGGCGGCCCGTCCCGCACTCACCGCTCGGTGCCCCGGCGGAGCCCCCCCGGGGCCGGTCCCGCACTCACCGCTCGGTGCCCCGGCGGAGCCCCCCCGGGGCCGGTCCCGCACTCACCGCTCGGTGCCCCGGCGGAGCCCCCCCGGGGCCGGTCCCGCACTCACCGCTCGGTGCCCCGGCGGAGCCCCCCCGGGGCCGGTCCCGCACTCACCGCTCGGTGCCCCGGCGGAGCCCCCCCGGGGCCGGTCCCGCACTCACCGCTCGGTGCCCCGGCGGAGCCCCCCCGGGGCCGGTCCCGCACTCACCGCTCGGTGCCCCGGCGGAGCCCCCCCGGGGCCGGTCCCGCACTCACCGCTCGGTGCCCCGGCGGAGCCCCCCCGGGGCCGGTCCCGCACTCACCGCTCGGTGCCCCGGCGGAGCCCCCCCGGGGCCGGTCCCGCACTCACCGCTCGGTGCCCCGGCGGAGCCCCCCCGGGGCCGGTCCCGCACTCACCGCTCGGTGCCCCGGCGGAGCCCCCCCGGGGCCGGTCCCGCACTCACCGCTCGGTGCCCCGGCGGAGCCCAAGGCAGCGCCGAGGGCAGCTGCCCCTTCCAGCCGCCCCTCGCCCCCCGCCAGCCCCAGGCAGCGCTTTGGCTTTTCTCTGTTCTGCCCCAGTTGCATCAGTTGGCTTTCGGGCCTTTGGCTTCTAAGCCTGTGCGTTGCTGGGAGGTGTGTTGGAGACGGTGAGAGCGAAAAAATCGCATCTCGCTCACAGAAGGGTAAAATGAGTTTTGTGACAACACTCCTCACTGCCGGATGGGGAGACATTTGCGGTCATCGCATCTCCACGCCTGACTGTGCGGAAGAATGGAAGAACAGCGATCTCTCAGAACGACCAGCACTACAAGAAATTAAAAGCCAAGCAGAGAGGTTTATTGGTTTATCCAATATATATAATTACCAAACTAGCTTCTGCAATCAGGACTTTGAGCTCCAAAGTTGATAAAAGTGGCCCGCGCAGGCTGGCTCACAGGGACAGTCTAATCTACAGATCAGAGGTGTCTAATCTAGAGATCAGAGGTTTCCCAGAAACTGAGCTACTGTCCAGTGAGCATTACATGTGCTCGTTTACAGCCAAAGGTGATGAACCCGATAGATTAAAAGGTTATCTTGTTTGAGGCACAGCACTGTTGTGAAAATTAGCCCTGTATAATGTGATTTGTTGGTTTTCTACTGTCCTAGACAATCTTAATGAAAACTGATGGAATTGCTCATGTTTTTGCTGGGGCAATTGCTTGGCCTTCACCGCTACTAATGAAGACAATACTGGCACGAGGAGCTGTGTGTATAAACCAGCCATCAGTAAGGCTAGAAGCAGGTTTCTAGGAGAGAGATTGTGAAGAGAGAGACCCAACCAGAGAGGGACTGGGGCACGGCAGCCTGGCAGGGGTGGCTGCTTGCAGTGGTAATACAGACGGTCCCTTCAAATCCAGGAAGCAGAAGAAATAACCCAGGAAAACTGTTAGATTCCGGGGTAAATTTACAGAAAGATAAGATCCTGTAAATAGAAGAGATTATTCCAGGTTTGTCACCGAAACGAAGGCAGTGGGGGTACTCAGACACCTTGCAAACCCCGGGTGCAAACCCACCACTGCCCGATTGCTGGGAGTCATTGCCTCCAAGTAACATGCCATTTAGGATCCACTTTTCTATCTGTCTCCCATTCCTTCAAGTACTAAAAATCTCTTCTAATTCCAAGGCAAAAAAACCTCACCTGACAAGAAACCAGCACATCAGAAGGCCTCCAAAAGGAAAAGATTCAAGTATCGGATGTCTGCAATTACAACAGGACACGGGGCTGTCACAAACATCTTTAATGATATGCATTGTCCTTTGCTCTCGATGGTTCACCATGTGAATGGCAGATTGTTCATGGCCTCCCAGAGTTTTTAAACTAAAGACATTTGTTCTATTGTTTCTGTCTTGGAGCGAGTGATTAAAATGCTTGTAGGGGGATGAACATACAACCAAGAGAGGACAGCACAGCAGCAAGTGCTCTCAAACACGCTCAGCCTTTGGAAAATCATGGTAGTTTTTTCCCCTCCTGCAGATATTTGCATGTGTCATCATCCACTTAGCAATTCCACTCTCAAAATTATAAAAAAAAAATCGATCACTTCCCATTTAAAATTTAACTCAGTTGTGGACAATATTTTGTGAATAAAGCATGAATAAAAACATATTATTCAGCTACTGTTTGGCAAGAAGAGAAAGGAAGGGTGGGAATAAACATATGCCTGTTTCTAATATTTTTGTTTAATGATAAGAGGGGGCCTTCAGTCAGGTCTCTAGTCTTTATAGATAACATGATCACAAAACAAAATTTCCTACTAATGCAAACTGAAGTATACAATGGAAATCTCTTTCCAGACGGGGAATTTAAAGATCTCCCGAGGCTCTGGATGAAATCAGTAGTACCTAGAACTGAAACCTCAATGAAAAACATCACCAGAACACATCAGGTTTTATAGAACTTACCAGTAGAAATGTCACTAGTCAAGACATGGTAGTACTGAAAAGAGGAGAAGCTACTTGATCAGCGAGAGAAGCCATTCCTAAATTATTTACTCATTTCGTCTTATTCCTTACAGGAAGTGTTCTTGGGCAAGGATTTCAGGACAAGGTTCAAGGGCAACAACTACTTATGAACAGAATTATGCCAAGATATATATTCCACCAGTTTCTGCATCCTTTGCAATTCGCTGTTTTCAACTGAAGAAACTAGAAATGGTTGGATTCTCTCAGTTTTACCTCGTAAATTGTGCTGCAGTTACAAAAGGGTTTTGTATTTGAGCTACAGCTAACCAGAAATAAACACAGCCAAGAAAAAGAGCCCAAAAGCTCCAAAACAACTGTCTGCCCTTTTATTGTGATGCATATGTTGCTCAATGCCACAAAATCTCTCTTATTACTTCAGCTGCACAGGGTGACTTACTTGGTGAATTTCCATCCAAAACAGTCTCAGAAGAGCACATCCAAATTTATTCCTCCTCTGCATTTTCTAGGAGAAATGTGGATTGCTATTACAGTATTACTGCAGAAAAGAAAACAATTTGATTGCTGTTATATTTCAAGAAATCACTCTGGATGCATTCTTTCAGTGTATTCCCTATATGATATCAACAGAGTACGTTAGGTAGGCAATTATTCGATTGCTGTGGCCACCATCAGCTTTTTGAAGTTGCTTGGTCTTTACTGCAGGAATCTCCAAGAACAGCCACGTGTACTGGCAGACCGAGCACCAACGAAATCCAGGCTTTCAGAAATGAAGAGTAGTGATTAAACTGAAGGATTACGAAGATTCACAGTTGTAGATGAAGAAACTTCTCACAGGAATCTAAAGGCACATAGAGAAAGTGTGGAATGTACATGGACAGCCAAGCAAGAAGCCTCAGCAATAAGAAACTTTAAAAAAAGATTCAATGTCTTTTTTCACTTTTATGACTGCCTGTAGTTTTGTGCTTTTCTTGTCTGTGCAGACCTGTGCTGGGAAGGTGAGGATCAGGCATGCTTTGCAGTGCTTGCCACTTGAGATGGAGCTGCAAATGTTAAAAACACATGAAAATAACGCTGATCTGATATAGCCCTCTAATATTCCCAGTTTGCAGGCTAGCTCGAACTTCATCAGGCAACACCGCTCGTGTCTCTACCATCTGAGACTGACACTGAAATAAAACCCAGATGCACATGTGAAGTGACATGTAGGGCCTCAGCCTTTTGTATAAATTTAATGTTTCAGGTATTAAACCTTCCCCAGCTTCCACCCCCAGGATACAGGAAAGGGGCCGGGGGGACATGCTCTGCAATTTCCATGTTAGAATTACAGTGCTCTTTCCAGTTACGTGTAGAACTGGACGTCAGAGAAGAAGTTAAAAAAAAAAAAAGGCAGGAAAAATTATAAGATAGGTTAATTCATTTCAACATCTTCATCAACACAGGTGCCAGGTGCTCCTTCAGCTGTGGATCAATTTGAATGTTGCTCAGTTCTTTGATATTGAGGATCATCTCATGGGCTTGGAAGAAAAGCTCTTTTCCCACAGCATCCTCCACCCGCCTGCGCCACTCCATCAGCCTTGGTCTGTCTTCAAAGATGTCGCAACCAACTCCAACAGGCTGCAGAAAGGGGGAGAGAGCAACAGTGAGGCATTGGACAGTCACTTCTTCACCCAGACAACAGGCACCAAAAGTGTACCTCAGGTACAGGGAGAGGAAAAAAAAATGAAGAGCTTATAGAGCAGCACTACGAAGGAGGGAAATCTCCTCTGGTCGGGTGTATCTATCTAGGGGACACAGAAGCCAGCCTATATTTTAAAGGGCATTTACAAATCAATTCCTGAATACCTGCACAGATGTTATGGGCAGCAAAGATGACTACCACTTATTGTGAGTGAATTTCAGCTACAGCATTGAAGATGTGGTGGGTTGACAGTTCCAGGGACAACTGCACGGTCCACAGTATGGAGTGCTATATTATACAGCAAAACCACAGCACAAAACGCTAAGTGTTTAATTGAACTGATGTCTTACTTGACATAATGTACCCCCCATCTACTTTCTGCCTGTGCCACTCTCTGAACACAATGCTGGAGAGAAGCAGAACTGCTATTTTTCAGTCCCTGGGGTACAGAACTGGGAGAAAGAATCACTTCTGGGCTGCAGGATCCAGGCACTGACGGTCTGGCAGAGAACAACCAGTTTGTAACAGACTTAGTTTAATTGCCTCTGTCTGAGATTCAGTCTTGCATCTTCCAGACATGGCATGGGCAAGTACCATCTGAAGAAGAATATTATTGTATGATAAAAATATTCCTATACCATTTTCTTATTTCATCAGACCTGTCTGCTATTGCTTCTCACTTTTATATATTACCTCCTTCTCTGGAGGTTAAGAATAAAGTCATGGTAAAAAAAGGAGAAGTATTGTTAGAGAACAGAAACAAAAGAGATCTGTTGCAGCCAGCTCTTTTTTTTTTTTTTTTTTAACTGGTTTTCTGAACCCACTCCCATATTCTCCTCATTGTCTTAGGCCAGTTCTGTTGAGATATGCCCTCACTCCTCTTTCTAGTGAAGTGTTACCACATGTGGCACCCTCCCTGCCCAGCAGCATCTGGCTTCCCTTGTGCCAAGACTTCCTTACCACACTCCAGCACTCACTTGCATCAGCTCCACAATGGCCACGAGATCCGCCAGAGAGATCTCACTCCCGATGATAAAAGCCTTGTCCTGCAGAAACCTCTCCTCAAATTGCTTCAGGGAAGTGGAAAGCCCCTCCATAACCTCCTGGAGCTTCTCCGACGGCAGTGGCTGCCCTGTGAAGAGGGGAATCAGCACCTGAGGAGAGAAGGGACTTAGGAGTACAGCTGGCCATCTTCTCATGCATCTGGTGGTAGTCACTTAAGTTACACCCCATGATGATCGTCAGTGATCCTGCAGCAAAGCCACAGGAGGGGATGGTGCTAGAGCTTCGTGGACTGCTGCAGTTCCAAGTAATTCATGGACAGAGAGCACACAGGCTGTCCTAAGCGGCTGATCTGCCATGACAGTAACCTCCAGCTTAGTGGGCAGCAACGTGCAGAACGAAATCAAGGATTCATCTCATTTTGTGCCTGGCAGTTGTGCTCTCCCACTCCACTTTGGTGAGTTACAAGAGAGAAACGGACGACAGCTCCAGGGAAGACAAATCTCTGCCACGGTCACCCCTGCTGTGCCCTCCGTTTCAACAGCCTGCCAAGACGGGTCAGCAGGCGGCGTGCCCACCAGCCACCCCTGCTATCCACCCTCTTGTGCCACTGGGTGCTGGAGGCAGGCAGGCAGCTGCCTGTCCGGCAGGGTGACAGAAAGGAGGGCATGGTGGTGGCTGTGGCAGGGAGCGTAGGAGGGACTGGAATGCGTCAACACTGGCTGGAGAGGCAGGAAACGGCTTCCTCTGCCTGACAGCAGCCGGCGAGGCTGGGAGCGGATAAGCACCAGCCTTTCTGTGGCCTCCCAAGCATCATTCTTTAAACCACTAGAAATTTTTCCAAAGCAATCATATAAATGTGGTCCTTGTCTCCACAGACTTGCTGGGACAGGGGGTGGTTGCCTTTCTGTAAGATTTGTCACCATTCACAGGGGTGCACGCGCTGTCGAAGCCTGCAGGATTTCACAACTATGCTGCCTCCACCTGCCACAGTTAAAGAAATATAGTTTATTTAGAGAAGCAAAATTAAAGATACAAATGTCCATCGGTGGGAGTGGACTGAATTTCTACTTACTGCTAGTATATTCAACTATTCAAGTTGGGATTGCTTAATCCAAGCCAGGATTTTTGCCAAATACATGTGGAATCTATTTAATCAGAAAAGTTATGGCCAGTTCTCTTCCTAAGTGGTTCCAATTATACATGATGGGATCTCCGGGTATAATCACTTGAAACAGCATCTTCTTCCTTTTCTGTATCTCTGTTTTCTCCCACATCAAGCTCATATGCTTTCTGTTATATGGTGGCTTTTATACATTTCCCTATTTTCAACTATTCTGAGGACCTGTTCTGTATCTGGGTTATCTAATCAGCAGCAGCAACGAGCTGGATTTCTTTCCCTTGGAGCACTGCAATTGCAGCCTGCAGAGACTGGAAGAAACTGCTTCTTGTATGAATCTGACTCATAATTGAATTGCTGTGCTCTCTAGCCAAAAATTCAAATGCCAATAAATCAAAAAGCTAAATGAGTCCTGATATGCTTTGTTAGGCACAAACAAGGGCAAACTTCACACAGTAAGAGGGAAGTTCTTACCTGTTTACTGACAACTCTGATTTCATCTGAAATTCCATACCACAACTATACTTGCAAGGCTATATTTGCACCGGGGCCTCTCTAAGGACAGTTGCGTTAACTGTCTGGTGAGTTGGCTGGAAGTAGGTATCCAGCAAAATCATCTGATACTAAATGATTTTCTGCCTCAGGGTGATTCTGTTAATTTTGCCTAAAATTGAGCTGACCACACTGAATAAAGAAATTCTGCCATTCTCTCTGTGTCTCTATTCTCTCTATCCTTGAGCCCATTTCAGAGAAGTACCTAAGTGTGTTGGAAGCAGAAGGCTCCTTTTGGATTTCCACCCTGATGGGGCTGCAGGGACTTGTATGAAGAATGCAAGCCTTTCTGTTTCCAGCAACAAAGCACACGCTCGCCAAAGAAGCAAAACTTCTGCCTATGTGCATACTCTGCACAGCTGTGCAGTGAGGGGGAGGCCCTTGGAGGCAACACCCAAACTGTTCACAAATCCAGGCTATGGAAGTCTGTTGGGCTTTGAGACCTTCTGTACCAGACCTACTTTAAGGCAAAAACCAAAATGACCAAAGCTGCTTTTGCCAGATCCTGACGTCGAGCAATTAGGAACAGCTCCCTCTCTGACAGCTCCCCTCAGCCAGGAATGGCCCAGGTTTGTTATTTCAACATGACAAACTCTCCCTGAATTGGGGCTGTTCAAATACTTAATATTCTGCCAGGAAAACATCACTTTACTCGCATTTTAATATTCAATCTCCTTACCTTGATCCACATGGTCTTAGGAGCATTAGCCCGGATGTTAGCATGATGCCATGACAGGTATTCATCTACCTGGGCCCGTTTTTTTATGTCTGATGGGTACCAGTGGTCGGGAGTGTTGTACTTTCGACTCAGATACAGCAGAATGGCAGTGCTGATCAGACATTAACAAGAGACAAGAAAGGGGTCGGGGAGTTATGATACAGAATGCTTTCACCTAAACTCCCTCTCCTGCCCCTTCTGACCTTGCTGCTTCCACTAAAAAGCATTCAGATCAGGATTTCTGATGGGAGTCTACAGACCAGATATAGGGCCTCTAATTCATGTTGACATCAGAGATGGCATTAAAAATTAGCACCTTAGTTTCCATGAAAATTTTAACTTGCTGGAAAATCACAGCACTGTTCTATGGTGCAGAGTACTGCTGGACAGTACCGGGTAAACAAACGATAAACCTCCATAATCATCTATCAACAATGTTAACCCCACTCGTTCTTCAAATGTTTTGACTCATCCCTCTGAGACCTGCACATGTTTATACGCTTGTGTACTAAATGAAACTAACGGGTTATGTTGCCTTTTCATCCGATCTGTCTCTATCCTGCAGCTTTCATTGAAGTCAGTGGAAGTCCCAGCAAGGAGAGCCTACAGAATCTTTTTGTGTTTGTCCAGATGTTTATACTTTTGCTAATTGGCAGGAGAAGTCAGATGGAAAAACGTCTTAGTCATCTACAACAATGTGTAGGCTGTTACTACAAAAAGAGATGCCACAGAAAATCCTGTGCTGACAAAACAGAATAAAATGCAGACCCTCCTACTACTCTGATACTACTATAATTCGATTATTTCAGTATTATGACACCATTAGCCAGTCTCCATATTAATCTTATAGTGTAAAAACCTAAATTTTACCTCTGTCGGTGTTCACTTGGCCTTTATGACTAATTCAGATAAACAGAATTTTTTCCTAGGGTAAAAGGGATTTTTATAAGCTTTAAACATTTCCCAGAAATGTTTATAATCCCACTTTGAGGTAAGTACATTCAGAGTAAGATCAAGAACTTAAGTCAGCTGATTCGTTTACATTCTGAAAGACAATTCAAACAGAGCAAATGAGGTTATACTATTAAAAATAAGCAACACGTTCATGAATTCTGTGACCCTTAATTATTCAGCGGGAATGACAGCTCCTAAATGCTGCACAGATTACTGGTACCTAAGGAAGTCTAAGGACTGAGTTCTTACCATTCTGCTAGGGTGAAGTCTCCGTCCTTTAGTGCTGGTACTTTCTTCAAGAGGCTGACTTTGCCCGCCCCTTCGCTATTTGATGGCCCTAAGAACAGGAACAGACAAGTCAGAGGTTAAAAGAGTACCTGCCAGTGAATGATAAATGAAATACCTGTAGCCAACTGGACAATCAGTGAACTGTGTTAGGTTTTCCCTATATGGACATATTTTACAATTAACAGGTAATGAGATTCAAGAGTCGGTGTAAAAGCTATCTGCAGAGGGCAGTTGGCTCAGGCCTGGCACATGGCGCGGCGCAGTGCACATTTCTATACAGGAATTCCGTTGCTTGACTCAGGTACCAGCAATACTTCCAAAACTTTCTGAAAAATCACTCCACGGGAGGCATTTAGATACCATGCTAAAGGTGCCGGTATTCAAAACACTATTGCAGATAACCAGGAGCAGCTAACTGACTTGAGAACAGTGTGTCCTGTGGCTTTAGAGACTGGCAGGGAAAAGACAGAACGTAGGATGAAGACAACTGAGCCGCTAAAAAATACTTAATATTTGCCAAGGCAGCAGGGTCTGGAAAAGTTGAGTTTGCGCGCAGAGCATCCTAAGGAGGGCAGATGGTTGCTACTCCTGCTCCTGTTCCCACAGGCAACACCAAAACAAAGTCATTTTCCTGCAGTTTGTAAATGTGGCTGACTAGCTAGGATGGAGTCATGATGGGAAGCAACTGAAAAGCCTTGTGCCCACAGAGATCGCTGCAGTGGCTAATTAATCAAAGAGAACCCGGCTGGCTTTTAGACACACGGAGCAAAATCTTTTTTCCTGTTTATTTGTCTCTGAAGAGCAGAGGGAATTGAGCATTTACAAAGAAAGCAAATGCTGTCAACGGAGATGATCCCTCGGCAGACACACAGCTGAGGATGTTTCCAGAGTTTTTGCTGGGATGGGAAAAACATGAATGCCAGCAATACAAGAGCAGGCTCATGAAATAATTGATTCTGCCACAGCAGACATTGGCTAGATGCTGGGAAGCTCAAACAGCTCTACCCTGCATTACTCCTGGCTCCGTGTTACTCCTGCCTCTGCATACAAACCCACCACTGTCAGGAAAACGCAGTAGGAAGACACTATCCCGTAACAGTTTAAACTCCACAGTCCCTCAGTGTCTGGAGGCATTAACAGCTGACTATCTAATCAGGTTTTCAGTTTCCTGAAAATGCAGGAATGTCAGCAGTTAAATGCCAGGGAATTGTACAAAAGTCCAGGAACACCTACATAAGAAAAGGTGTGAGGAGTTTGTTTGCTTTGCCTGTTTTAAGTGCTCTCTAGAAGGAGACATGATTTAGGGTGCAAATCCTGATCAAATCAGCATGACCAGCAGGAACTGTTGTACAAAAATCCCTTTGCTACAAAAAAATAAGGACCATTAACTAACAGACAGTGATCTACATCCCCAAGAACTACTCGCCTCCACTCAGGAGGTAGTGGCAGGGTCTGCTTTACTGGACAAATGTGCAGCAGGAAATAGTCTCCACGAAGTAAAACCAGCCTTTGGATTATCAAGTTGACTTGCAGTTGGCTTTGGGAAGGGGTGGGCGAAAGGAAGGTTGCTGCATTAGACGTTACAGACTACTTTCCCAATACTGATTTCACACGAGCCAAATCAATCAGAGCAAACATTACTGGCCTGCTCTCCTTTCTAGCTGACTAGTCTCTACCTTGTTTCTCCTTTGAGAAGTGTTTTTTTTAAATTCCAGTGTAAGTAGCTTCATCAGAGACTAAGGTTCACATCCACCTGCTGTCTGAGGGGATTCAAACCCATGTCTCCCATCTCACTGGGAAACATCTCTGGCTGCCTGTGGTGATGGTGGCCTCCAGCTTGGCTGGGTAAGAAGGTCCATGTGCACAGCAGAACCAGGCAGCGCTGTCAGGAGATGTAGGAAGCAAGGGCTTCTTAAGCCTAATAACTGAGAAACTTTAAAAAAAAAAATCCCTGAAAATCAAGCCAGCAGGCAAAGTACAAGTACACAGTACCTTATGTCTGTGATTTATATCATAAAAACAGTGAGGCAAATTTGTGTAAATCTACTGTCATGCAAGGAGTTGCTCTGGGAAGGTGCTTGCTCCTGTGCTTTTAGAAGGGCTCCAAAGGCCAGTGGTCATCACACCCCCAGCTCTGGTGAGATCTGTAGAGTTCAGGTGGTCTTTGGAAAAATGCAGCAGAAAGCTGCAAGTCAGTAACACAACTAATGAGAAGTCAATTCTCACACCTAGATCTCTGGTTGTCCTGCTGTCCGTGTTTATTATCCAATGTAGAAGGCAGCTGAGCAACAAGGATATGAGAAGTAAGCAGCGGGTGAGAGCAGCCTGCATCAGATTTCAGTCTGCTTTCATCGTGCAGCAGTCCTAGCAGGAATACTGAACATATTAGTCCCCTGATGGGACTAATATGTCATTACAACAGGTTGGACAGTAGGTCAGTGTCTGTTACACAGCCTGCACCGCAGCCCAGAGATGGCACCTTATTTGCTTTGGCTCCTACAAGGTATTTGTGTACAGACGTAAAAGACCTGTGCCAAGACTCTGCCACTCACCTGCAAACTGGTAAAAGCCTCGGTGTGACCACTAACTCCAGGTTGCTTCATCAAGACCAATTGTTTATTGTATTGAAATAGAGACCAATATTTGTATTTGCTGTTTAGCACAGTTTAAGCTTGTGGCTCTCTTCCAGCAAGCAGAGCTGCCCTTTATGTTTAGCAGTATTAGGTGGCCCATCTTTATCATTCCTGTGCTGTTGACTTGACTTACGGTGCTGTTTAACATCAGTTGCATCTGGTGCAATTAGTCCTTGCTGTCCTCCAAGGATATATACACACACATGCACTGTGTGTATTGCTGGGCTTTGAGGAATAACTTTAATAAGCAGAGTATAACTGTCAAAAAGCAGGGCAGGCTGCACACAGGAAGAATTCTTAAGCATAAGTCATAGTGCAGGGAAGGAGATTTACTGGTGGGTAAAAAAGAGCAGTGGACAAGATTTTACAGAATTAGAAAGGAAAAAGAAATAGTCTATTTGCCAATCACATCCTTGCCTAATTATCTCTGCAGCCAAGGATTTCCAAGTACTATGTTTTGCCTTAGGCAAAAAAAAAGTAACAATTTACTTGGAAAATGCAATATCTAACTGGGCAATAGTCATCTTACACAGTTGGACAAGACTGAACAGCTGAGTGTTTCTGCTAAGTACACCGTTCCCAGAGCACTCCTCGGCTGTCACTGTGACTAATTTGCTAGAAATGGCTGGAGGAACATTCCTTGGGGATCCACAAAAATAGATGCAGCACAGCTACGAGACTGCCCTGGGAATAAGAGCTGCACGGTCAAACCATTGTATTCAGGCCCCTCGGCGGAGCACGTATTTAAAATCACTGAGGTTACCCGAGGAGCCTCTCCTTCCCTCCCAACGGGACAAGCAGAGCTTCCAGGGGCCGGGAGCGGACTCGGCTCTGGAGTGCAAGTCTGGGCGGGCTTCACCCTCCCCAGGCAGGATGGGACCCTGTCTTGAGAGGCCACCGGGGTGAGACCACGGATACGCCTCCTCTGGGCTCCGCACCTCCGCATCCCTCTCCCAAACGGGTGATCTCCCGCCTCCGCTAACTCCAGCCTTTTGCTGCCTTCCGAGTTCAAGCGGTTCCTCCTTCGGCTGCGACCCAGCGTCCCCAAACATGGACTGGCGTTGCCTCAGCAAGGAGAGAACCCTCCACCGAGCTGCCACCTCCACCGAGCCGGGACGGGCCGCACTGAAGCTGGCGATGGGAATGGTCCCAACCGCCCCCAGTGGTCCCCAGTTCCCAGAGAAGCACCAGCGCCGGACAGGGGGTGGTGGGATACCGCTCAGCGAGCCCATGGCCGGCCTCCTGCTGCTCCGCGGAGGAGGCCAAGGGGCTCCTCTGGGGGCCATGACAGCAACACTCCCCACCACCACCACCACCCCTCCTCCGGCT